ACATTCACACTGGATACTTAGGGATGATGGGAGTCAAGTCTGTAGTTTTCTATCAGATTGTTCATAAAAAGACTCAACAAGAACAAAACCATATATATAGATACATAGAGACCAAAAGCAGATGTGATAAGATATTAACAATTGGGGAATTTGTGAGAGGGGAATATAGGAGTTCTTGCAACTTTTCTATAATTTGAAACTATTTCAAAATAGGATACATACGCATATTCATATTTAAAACAAACATGAAAACATACATTCACACAAAACCTTGTTTACAAATATTCATTACAGCATTATCTATAATAGCCAAAAAATGAAGTCAATCAAGTATCCATCAATTGGAATGGATAAACAAAACGCTGTATATCCATATGATGAAATATTATTTGACAATGAAAAGGAAGTAAGCGTTGATACATACTACAACGTAGATGAACCTTGCAAACACTGTGCTCAGTGAAAGCAACCAGTCACAAAAGACCACCAGTTGTATGATTCAATTTACCTGAAATGTCCAGAAGAAGAAAATTCACAGACATAGAAAGTAGATTCGTTGTTGCCAGGATTCGAGGAAAGGAGGGAATGGGGAGTAACTGCTAATACACATGGGGTTTCTTTGGGGCTGATGAAAATGTTCTAATAGTGATTGTGGTGATGGTTGCACAACTCTGTAAATATACTAAAAACCACTGACAGGTAAATTTTATAGTGTGTGAAATATATCTCAAAACAACTTTAAAAGAAAAAAAAATCTGTCACACACATAACATAAAGTAAAGCCATAAAGTTTTCTGGGCACACAGGCAGACTGAAAAGAGAGGAACTTGGAAAGTCTTTTACTAAAGCACGAAGAGCCCCTAAAGGAGCAGTTCCACCAAGTGTCCCGGCTTCCCTTCTGTCCGCTAGGTCTTGTCTCTCACTCTAAGTCCCATTTTCCCTGCAGTACAGGAAGCAAAATAATGAGAAGATTAAAGAGCTGCCTCTGCAGCCATATTGCCTGGGTTGTTTCTTTTTTTTAAGATTTTATTTATGTATTAGAGAAAGAGAGAGAGAGAGAGCATGAGCAGGGGGAGGGGCAGAGGGAGAAGCAGACCCCTGCTAAGCAGGGAACCAGACTTGGGGTTCGATCCCAGGACTCTGGGATCATGACCCGAGCTGAAGGCAGACACTTAATCGACTGAGCCACCCAGGCGCCCCAGATTGCTTCGGTTTGAATCCAAATCTACCATAACCTGTAGTTAGGTAAATTACTTAGCCTGTCTGTGCTCTGTTATCAAATGGGGATGCTTAATTGGGTTGTTGTAAGGAATAAAAGACATAATCCATGAAAAGTGCTTTTAAAAGTGTCACTTACTGGAATTCATGAGAAGTGGACCATGTTTTTTAACAAGTCTCCCATCAGGAGATTTCTTTCTTAAAAAGGCTCCAATCCATTTCATCCTCCCATTTCTCTGACGTCCTTTCCCATAGTTTATGCCACTTCCAACTAGTCAGATGCAAGCTTGATATAATCCTGACCAACCAGTCCTATGGTTCACAGTGGCTACCCCCACTCTCTGATTGTCATTTTCTGTGCTCCATTTTTCCCCATCATCTGCCCATTGTAAGAAATATAGAATGTGACTTAGGGAATGTTGTTTTCAAAGGCCAAGGTCATTGCTGTTATTTCTTCATGCTGTTATATATTCATCCCAAATGGTACAAGCATCGTGGTTTCCTGTCACCCTGCAGACTGGACAAGCAGATGGGAGCCTAATCATGAGAACTGATAGTCATTTCATGCTAACAATTTGACAGCCACTGTCCATGATTGTTTCATTTCATCTTCACACAATCTGCATTTTGTAGACTATTATCCTCTTTGTCACATGAGGAAACTGATGACCAGGAAAGTTAATTTGTCAAGGCCACACAGGTTCTAAGGGATGGAACAAAGATTCTAATCAATCTCTCTGTGTCTTCAGATTCTACTCTTTAGCCACTGTGTTGTATTGCTCGATCTTCCCCAGAGTGGGAAAGAGCTCACAGCTAAGATCCTATTCCAGGGTAGCCAAAAGAGTTAAGAGGTCAGAAATTATGTCTTAGATATCTATGTGTCTAAGTGCCTGGGATACTGCCTGACACATGATAGGAGTTCAGCATTTTTGTCAAACTGCTCAACTGTGCAATGGAACATAACCTCTCACATGGAATTAAATGAATCCTCTGCGTGCAGAGTCCTGCTTCTACTTGCAGGACAATTATAGGGTTTTGGAGTCAGAGAGATCTTAAAATTCTGGTTTTGCCATTTGGTTACTTGGTGGCCTTGGACAAAGGCACTTAACTCCTCTGAGTCTCGAATCTCTAATCTGGAAAATGTAAAAAGTCGGTAAAAATCTTACCTCCTTTTTGGCATTGTTATTCAGATGGAATGAAATAAAGTTGCAATGTTAGACATATAGTAGATACTCAATAAATGATAGTTATTACTATTGTCCCTTCATCCCTTCTTCCAAATAAACCTTGTGAGAGATCAACTACATATTGGTTCCCAAATTAAAATAAGTGAAACAATAATTGTAATTCAAAGTAGAATAATGGAAATAACATTGAATTGGGAACTGGGAAATCTGGCTTCTGGCTTTTGTTGCCTTCTTTCTACTGAGCAGCTATGCAACTTTCATCAAGTCACTTTACTTGTCTGGGCTTGTAATTCCATACTTCAAATTAGAGTCAATCTCTGAAGTCTCTAAGATCCTCTTAATCTACATGTCTGAAACTCTTTAAGAGATTATGTTGCGGAAGTATTACCCTTGGCTTGATCATTTCAAGCAGATTATATGGGTAATTGGAAAACACATTCATTAACTCATTTTAAAGTTACATGTTGTTCATTTATTTGAAACTTTATGAAGCATACTTCCTCCAAAAACCATAGAAACTTGGTTAAAAGCTACAAGACTCAAACCTACCACCTAGCGGCAAAGAAAAGATTCAGATTGAAGATACAAGATGTCCCGCCATCACATGTGCAGGGGGGGGGTGTCCTCAGCGATCTTTCATTTCATGTTTGTCCTTTCCCTTCACTACTCAGGATAGTTTTGTGTACACAGAAATTCAATACTTCCAGACTTAACAGTTTGTTCATTCGACAGTTCTCTTTAGCACGCGAAATATCGTGGACTTCTGAGAATTGTGGAATAATCATTGGTGTTAGATTTGGGGAGCAGAAGTGCCTTTCTACTCATACGTTTCAAACCAGTTCTACCCAAGAGGCCCACCCAGTCCATCTCTTGATGGATAGACAGGGCATTCCACAAGTGCCTGGTTGAGAGACAATGACCACTACTTTGAAAAGACAGAAATCAATACACCAATGGGATTCTTGCCTGCAAGTATTTAATGACGTTGTTTTACCCACTACAGTAATTAAAATTAAGTCTTCACATTTAAATTTGAATATTTAAAAGCAGTGCAGGAATGCACCGTCCTTAAACTTAAACCCCAAAGGTGAGGAAGAGGCCAGAACCCTAGGGTACTAAAGAAGGATCTATTTTCCATTTTTTTCTTTTGTATTCTGCCGCCGCCCCCCCCGCCCCCCGCTTTCTCCTTTCGTTCCATTTTCTCTTTCTCTCCCAAATAGCAGTCAGGTGATTAAGCTCAGAATAATGTTTAAATGGAACAGGTAGTGCCCTACGCAGGGTGATTTAATTACCCCAGGTTTTCACCTGAAAATCCCTTTCGTCATTGAAAATATTTCTCGAGTCTTTCCTGAAATATGGAATTATGCCATTTTCCAACACTCTGCTTTAAGTATTGTTAATTTAGCCTTCTTTTGAAATACCACTCTCACTTTAGCACAATTTTCTTAAACCTTTTTCTGCAGAGGAAGGGTTCCGTATATGCCACCTTGAGAATTTCGCCTATGATCAGCCTTGTTAGTAGAAACCTAGTTTTTCTACTTAAAACGCTTGATTCCATTTTTACCGGGTTTACGAACGTTGGCCAAGTCAGTCTTCCAATGACTTAATAAACTATATCCTCAGTTTTTAAAACTTTGGGGCTCAGTGCCTCCACGGGCATCCGGGCATTTATTAACTGTTTCTTAAACAGGCTCCCGAAAGGAGCAGTTCCGGCTGAGAAGTTCCGAGAAGCAGTTACCACGGAACTCGCAACAGTTGGTGTGGGGTGATAGGCAAGTTAGAAGTGACAAATGGGGCTAGTTTAAGAAACAAAAAGCCCCGGGAAGGGAGAGGAAGGGGCAGCGGTGGCCTTGGGGCACAGTGCGAAGTTGACGCAAGATCGGGGGTCGGGGCGAACTTCTGCCCCGCGAAGGCGCCTTCCCGGCAGCCAGAGCTGGCGGCGGCCGCGGCCGCGGCCAAGAAACACGGAGACCGCACTCGGGCGGCCTCGCCTCGCAGAACGCGCGGCCGGCGCACGCCCAGGCAGCCCCCAGGACCACGCCGGGGCCACCGCGAGGTGAGGCCAGCCCTGCCCCCGCACCGCCCCCGGCGGGAGGCGCGACGCCCAGGCCGCGGGTGCGTGCGCGGCCCCGGGCGACGCGGCTGGGCGTGCGCGGGGCCGCGGCGGAGGCAGGGCCGGGCGGGCGGCAGAAGATGGCGAGGGTGTGTAGGCGGCAGCAATGCTCCGTTGAGAGACGCGGCTTTCGGCAAGAACTGGACTCGTGGCGCCACAAGCTCATTCACTGTGTAGGTGAGACCCTCCCCCGGCCGCTTCCGGCCCTTGGGCCGCCCCGCCACCGGCTGCCCCGGACAAGGGAGGGAGCCGGGGCAGAGGCAATTGCTGCTCCGGCCCGCCCGCCCTCTTTGGCTCGGGCGTCCCCCTCCCCCCACCCCCCGGAGTGCGGGCGCGCGCGACCTCCGGGCGGGCTCTCCCCGGCTCGGGCCTGAGCACGCGCGTCGGCCCCTCCCCTCCGCGCGCCTTCCCCGGGGCGGGCTCTCGGGCGGGAGCGCGTGCCCCTTCCCTGCCCCGCTTACCCCCCCTCCCGGCCCGGTCGCCCGGCCGCCCGGCGCCGCCGCCGGCTTATTGTGGAGACTCGCCCCGCGGCGCTGCCACTTGACCGGGGGCGTCGCCTCCGGTTCCGCGGAGCCGGGCACGGGGGTGGGAGGCGTGCTCAGCCCCTTCCTCCGCTCTGCCCGGCGCCTTCCCCCATCCTGCGCTTCCCCTCCCCCACGCGCGGCGGCGCGCGCCCCAGTCCCCGCGTGCACGCGCGGCGGCGGGCGGGCGGGCGCCCGGCTCTCGGGCGTGTGCGAGGCGTGAGGTGGAGATGGGGGCGGAGGGAGCCGGAGCTGTCACAGGCCCCGGGTCCGCCTGACCGAGCCAAGTAGGGTGTCATGGCCGCGGGGGGCAGCGGCTGCACTTCCTCTGCGGGCGGCGGCGGCGGCGGCGGCCGGGGAGTTAATCCTCGACGCTCGGGTCGGTGTGTGTGTATTTGTGTTCGGTGTGTGCGCGGCGGGGAGGAAAGGGGGTGGAACTGGGTCCGACCGAGAAGCCGGAGCGGGGGTCGCTCTTGTCCCCTCCCCGGGTATTTGCCGGAGCCGTGGCCTCGCCGAGAGCCTCGCCCCCCCAACCCCCAGCCTCTCGGGCCTCGGGTGGTTTTTTCCCCCACGGGCAGGAGGGAGTGTGCACGGGGGCGCCCCAGGAGGGGCCGGGCGGCCGAGCTGCGCCTCTCACACTGTGTGTTTTGTCTGTTTTTCTCTCCCAAGGTCCCGTTTCCCTCTGTGCGGCGGCCGGCGGGACTATAAGGGCTTAACTCATATATTTAACCCCCCTCCAAAAAGTAAGTGGCCCGTGTGGTGTCTCCGCTCCGCCCGCCGCCCCCTAGCCCCAGTCCATCCTTGTGTCTGACTCTCCTGTCCTCCAGCATTGTTATTTCCCCATCTTTGCTTCGGTGCTGCTGCTGTGTGGGGAAATGCTTTCTCGTGCTCCTCCGTCCCCCAGACCCAGTCTTCGGGGAGGCGCAGAATTCCAGCCCTTTCTCCCCCTCTCCCCCCGTGGGGAATATTCTTGGGAACCAGGTCTTCCCCAGCAGAATCTAGGAGATTGTATCCGTACGCTTGGGCCCCTCATCCCCTCCTTCCCGACAGGGTTTCGTTGGAAGGAATTATGCAAATCCTGCTTTCTGGTGTCCATTCAGCGGCAATTTCATGCGGTGAGAAGTTCTCTTTGTTGTGCGAGGGGGAGAACAGACACTGATTTAATAGACATATCTGTTGGGGGGAAGGGTGGAGGGGGTGTGGAGAGGCTCAGTTTGGAAGAATTACAGCACTTGGTTAGCTCAGTGTCTTTGTGTTTGAGCTTTCTGGCTTGACAGGAGGGTATGCCCTTTACAATGTCCCACAAGAGATGTTTTCTGTAATAGATTAAAAAGCAAAACAGAAACTTTAAATAAGTGAAACATAAGGTAACCTTTACGTAGAGAATATAAGCCTTTGCATTTCTGCAGTGTTTCATTATGAAGATATATGTGAATTTTGTTAAGGATTTAGACTGTAACATCAAAATTAATTAAAACAGGCAACAATGCTTTAAGGTGTCTGATATCACTTTGGTTGTCCACAGGTTAAAGAACATTTTAAAAACATACCTGTGTAAGTAATAAAGGCACGAATCAATTTTTTGGTGTAAGTTGACTTGTGGATAAATTTTAAAATTTCCCTCCTGCCAATCCAAGCCCAGCTCTGCCCTCCAGAAAGCCTTTTGGCTATCAGTTATCATTTACTCTGTCTCTGTATTTTTTCAGATCTATCCTACATTTGCTAAAATGTTATATCAGATTAAGCTCTTTTTGAATTATTTGTAACCATCATATGAAAGAGTTTATGAAGGCATGCAGGTTTTGAGAAGTGTGAAATTAGTAAGTTTTCAGAATTATGAATATAAAAATCCTGAAATTATTTTGAAGAATTTTTAGTTCTTGTATTTGTTTCACTTTTTTCGAGATTGGTTTTTTTTGGTAGGGCTTTTTAGTTTTTAAAAGGTTTTGAAATTGACTATAACCCAGTAGCTTTCATAAGTTACTGTTACTTTAGATGGTTTTAATGAGTTGTTTATCTTATTCTAATTCTGTTTGCTTTGAATCCTTGCCTTCTGCCTCAGGCCCCCTTTTTATCAGTCATTGCTAGTATTAGTGGTTACTTATTGCTGCTTGACAAGGTTGTGGGTTTTTTTTTTATTTTTTCCTTTTCCCTTAATGACTAACAAAATTCTGTAAATAACTGAATTGAGTATCAAATTTTGATTCGTTTTTTTGAGGGGGGATTTTAATCTGGTCATCAGTTTCCTTAAAGCATACTTTTAACTCCAAATTTCCACTTTGAAGGTAGTAAAGTTCAGGAGATATTTAAAGTCCAGAGTGCAGAGCAGTAATTCATAGTTGATAGTCTCACAGCTAAAATCAATTGGGTTTCGTATTTTCTCTTTTGTTATATGTAATTTCTTTTAAGAGGAGAGTTCTAAGTAAATTAATAGTAGTGTTAACTTTCTATACTTAAAAAGGCTAGCAGTGATTGATTCTCATATAATGCAAAAGGCAACTATGTTGTCACTAGCAAACGTAGTAATTCCTCGTTTATTTTAATGAGATTGGTTCTGAACACTTAACCTTCTATTTCATTCTGTTGACTGATTATTTTAGTACTTTAGGGTCATTTGGTTTCTAAATGATACTTAATTTATAGCAGTCTTGGATTAAAAATGAATTCTCATTTATTTCCAAAATCTAATTCTCCTGTTTGGGGGGACTGTGTGGTGGGGTACATCAGGATTGTGGAGGTGTTTGTGTTTCCATTATTACGTTTAGTTGAATTGGAGTCAGTAGCAGTTTCAGACAGTGATTATGATCAAGATGGATATTTGGTACCTAGGTGATTATTGAGGTGGCCTCTGGGACTATGGCAGTCCATATTCCAGGAAGGTCGAAGTTCTCTCTGCTGCTTGGTGTGACGTAACCTATTGCTGGGCTGCTCCTCATCCTTGCTGTATTCTCAAAAAGCTCTTCCCAATGTAAGGAAAGGTGTGTGGATTTCAGTTTACTCAACTTGGTTGAAAAAGGAGAGCATAGTAAGTCTTTTTGACTTAGAGTTATTTCAAATTGCCCTGATTCCCTCAGATGTGCTTGTAGATGGAGCAATTCTAGGAAGCATCTGAATGACCTTTTTTTTTTTTTTTTTAAGATTTTATTTATTTATTTGAGAGAGAGCACATGAGAGGGGTTAGAGTCAGAGGGAGAAGCAGACTCCCTGCCGAGCAGGGAGCCCGATGCGGGACTCGATCCAGGTACTCCAGGATCGTGACCTGAGCTGAAGGCAGTCGCTTGGCTGAGCCACCCAGGTGCCCACCTTTTTTTTTTTTTTTTTTTAAATTTTAGCCTTATGGGCTATAGTGGATGGCCTGTAATTTCTTTCAGTGAGAATTAGATGTTCAGTGTCTGGAGACGTGCCATTTCTGAGCACCCACCTAATTATTTAGCTGCTTGTATTAGTGTTGTTTTTAGAAATGAAAGGCAGTTAGGTAAGTACTTCATTTAAATTTGAACCTGGCACTGTGGGCAGACGAAAGGGGAGGCTACCCTAACCTTAAGGAAATTTTAGTACTTAGAGAAGATATAGTGTATTCAAAAATAGAAGATATAGTGTATTCAATAATAGTACAAGGCAAAAGGTGCCATACCATGGTGCAAGCGAGTGCTAGGGGTATTTAGAAGTGAAAGAAATTTCTTGAAATGATGTAGGAAGGCTTCATGAAGAAGGTGGCAGATTTTTGCTTCATTTTGATGAATACGGAAGAGGCATTTCTGTCGTGAGAAACAAGCAAAAGTGGCAAAGGACAAGAATGGGTTGAAACTGTTTAAGTCTGTTTAAACTGCAAACCATGATTCATGTAGGGGATGTATAGATGATAGGTTTGCAAAGATAGGTTGTAGGATTTTCTAATGCAGGTTAAAAAGTGGGGTCTCTTTGTTAGCCACCTTGGGGTTTACAGTGCAGTTCTCTCCTTAGCTTAGGGGAGGAATGTTTCCTTTATTTGACAATTTCATTGCGGAACTCAACAATGACACATAATTGTTTTTTAAATCATCTTGACAGGAATGATGCTGTTACCCAAAACAGTGTCTCTTTTAAGTAAACTCATTGGAGGCTATACTATATTCCATTGCAGAAAACCTATTTTTGGAATGGCCTAAAATCAGTGGCATATGTATTCTTTGAACACCCTTAGTATTGACAAATTTTCATCCTTAGAGGTCACATTTGGTATTTGGAAACAGTTGAAAAGTATCTTTGTGGCAAATAAAAGTATGTGTTAAATAATGAGATTGGTTTTCATTATTTATTATTTTCATTATTTCCTGGTTTGCAAACTGGCTGTGAAGCTCAGCAGAGGGGTTTGATTTGTTTTGATATGCCTCAGAACTTCTCTCTTCTTACTTCCTTTATGTCTACCCATCTGCTGTATGGAATCTGGATATTCGGTAGATGTGAATAAACAAAGCTGTTGTTTTTGTAGTTTCAGGTTAAAAACTTATCGTCACTACCCTCCAAATTATCTACTCTATTTGCGAATATTTAAAAAATTCTTTTACTACTCCTTACAGTTGCACATTGTTTTGGGGATAATTCCAGTGTGAACTATTAGCTCATTTTATTGTCTCTTGTATGCAGGAAGTATCCCAAGTACAGTGGTCCTTACCCTGAATTTTTTCTTTTTTCAATTGAAATACAATTTACATACCATAAAATTCACCCTTTTAAAATACACAATTCAGTAATTTTAGTTTATTTGCTACATTGTTCAAACATCACTGTGTAATTCCAGAACACTTTCATTACCCGAAAAAGAAACCCCAAACCCATTAGCAGTCATTTCCCATTCCATCTGCGACGCAGCCATTGGCATCCCCAGTCTTTCTGTTTCTGTGGATTTGTCAATCTTGGGTATTTCATATAAATGTAATCATACAATATATGGTCTTTTGTGTCTGTCTTCTTAGCATGTTTTCAAGATTCATACATGTTGTAGCATTTAGTGTTTTCTGTGGCTAAATAATATTGCATTGTATAGGCATACTATGTTTTGTTTATCCATCAGTTGTTGGGCATTTGGACTGTTTCCCCTTTTTGCCTGTTGTGAATTATGTTGCTATGAACATTTGTTTCCACTTTTCTTGGGTATGTAGGTAAGAGTGAGATTGCTGGGTCACATGATAACTTTTTTAACTTTTTGAAGAACTGCCAAACTGTTTTCCAAAGCAGATGCAGTATTTTATATTCCCACCAGCAGTGTATGAAGATTCCATTTTCTCTACCCCCCTGCTAATAACACTTGTTATTGTCTGTTTTTGATTATAGTTATTTTAGTGGGTAGGTCTGAAGTGGTATCTCATTGTGGGTTTTTATTTGCATTTCCCTAATGACCCCGGTGATGTTGAGCATTCTTTCACATGTTTATTGGCCATTTGTGTATCTTCTTTGGAGAAATGTGTATTCAGATCCCTAACTCATTTTAAAATTGAGTTATTTGTCTTTTTATTGTTGAGATGTAAGAGTATATTCTGGTTACTAGACCCACATTAGTGTATGATTTGCAAATTTTTTTTATCATACTCTCAATTTAAAAATAATTACAGATCAGAAGGAAACTTAAATACTTTGTAAAGGGAATAATATATATAGTAGTGGATTGATAGGAGAGAACTAGAATAACTGGAAAGGCTTGCTTTAATATCTTTTATATGAATTATTAAAATTGTGGTTTTTAAAAATACTGTATTTATTTTAGAGCACAGGCAGTGGGGGAGCAGAGGGAGAGGGAGAGAATCTCAAGCAGACTCTGTGATGCGCACAGAGCCCCCTGAGGGGTTTGATCTCACGACCCTGAGATCATGACCTGAGCCTAAAACCAAGAGTTGGAAACTTAACTGACTGAGCCACCCAGGTGCCCTGTGTTTTTTTTTTTTTTTTTAAGTAATCTCTCCACCTGTCATAGGGCTTGAACTCATGACCCCAGGACCAAGAGTTGCATGCTCTACTGACTAAGTCAGCCAGGGACCCCAAAATTGTTGGGTTATTTGATGGAGTTGTGTCACAACACAGATATACTTTGCTATCCAAATCTTCGAAATTCCTGCCTTTCTATACCATATATCAAATT